TAAGGTGGAAACTCGAGCCATTGGGCGCCATTTGTAGCTAGAGTTTTCCTGCCTTGCCCACAGTCAGGACAAATCTTTGTCACCCGCCAGTCCCACAGCCACTCAGACCCAACCAAGTAAACACAGAGACTTATATTGCATACAAACTGTATGGCCGTGGCAGGCTTTTTGCTAACTGTTCTTATATCTTAAATTAACCCATTTCTATAAATCTATACCTTGCCACATGGCTGGTGGCTTGCCGGCATCTTCACATGCTGCTTGTCCTGGCGGTGGCTGCAGTGTCTCCCTCCTTCTTCCTGTTTCCCCAATTCTCCTCTCTCTTTGTCCCGCCTATACTTCCTGCCTGGTCATTGGCCATCAGTGTTTTATTTATAGAGTGATATCCACAGCAGGGTCTCACTTTGACTATCCTGGAGCTTGCTCTGTAGACCAGGCTGACCTCAAACTCACAGAGATCTGACTGTCTCTGCCTCCACCACTACAGTTATCAAGTTCCTGACTTTAAACACCAAGTTCTTTTTTTATATTTAAAAAAGACGTATTTATTTTTATTTTATGTTCATGGGTGTTTTCTCTGCATGCGTGTCTGTGTACTATGTGTGTGCCTGAAACACCAAATTCGTAAAAGTTCCCTGCAGATGCTGGGTGGTGGTGGAGCATGCCTTTAATCCCAGCACTCAGGGAGGCAGAGGCAGGTGGGGAAAAAAAGCCCCCTGCAAAGATTATAGATGGCACACAGCTATAATCTCAGCATGTGGAAGGCTGAGGCAATGACACTGTTGGCATTCTGGCCCACCCCTTGGGGACCCACCCTGCAGTCCTCCCCCTTCTCTCTATTCCCATGAGTTGTGCACCCCTCCCTCACATCTTTCTATTCCTCTCCCCATCTCTTTCCCCCACCAAATAAAACTCTTCGCTGAGCGCTGCTTGCATGGAGTCTCTGTCTCTCACCCGCTGTGGAGCACCTTGGCCCAGCCCCCCCCCCCCCGCCCCCAGGCCATGTCATTACACTGATGCTGTGTGACTTGGCTGGTTTCCGATGGTGTTTCTTCTTATACGCAGGCAATCCAAGAAACGCTGGGACCCTGTATCGTCTAACACCATCACTTTTCCAACTTCCAACTGGACGACCCCTGGGACTCTTCACCCTATTGGTAAGATTCCCCCCTTTCCTTCTGGCCGTTTTCCATGAGTAAGGATTCATCTTCTTGACTATGGTCTCTCGCCTCTTGGCCCTGTTCAAGACCGGGTACCGGGCACCACACTTCTCGGGCTTTCAGCCCTCCAGCCCGTTTCTATGCGACAGCATGTGGCAACAGCTTGTGCCCACTCACTCGGTGGCCCATAGCCTTTGGATGACAGTCCCCTGGCTATTTTGGGCCATCACTGGTCCTCGCTGACCCTCTGGGACGCCGGAGGTCAGTCTGTTGGACCTTGTTCCTCACTCTGGAAAATGCGCCTCCTCTCCTATCCCAGCTCCTTCCTTACTGCCCGCTCCCTCAGGCTCCTCCATCAGTGACATCATCACCTGTCGCCAGGTCCCTTTAAAACTGCCCCTCATCCCTCTCCTCTGTAGTTTCACCCCCAGCCTCTTTGCTCTCTAACTCTGTTGCCAGGGTCTCACGCGTTTGTTCCCCTGCAGACCCTGGCACCGCCCTTTCCTGCAGCTGCCTGGCCCTGTTACCCGCCTGCTTTTGCCCTCAAACCACCTCATGCTGTCTGTCTGTTCCCTGTTTCCCGCTCTTCTCCCTCCTCCTGCCACCACCACTCGGAGCCAAGCCCCTCCCCCCTCCGAGGGTCCCCCTTCTCTTTGCCACTACTACTGAGGCTCCGGAGGTGGCCACATAAATATGTTTCTGACTGACTTTTTGTTGGTGTTGTTTTTTGTTTTTTTTTTCGACACAGGGTTTCTCTGTGGAGTTTTGGTGCCTGTCCTGGACCTCACTCTGTAGACCAGGCTGGCCTCGAACTCACAGAGATCCGCCTGGCTCTGCCTCCCGAGTGCTGGGATTAAAGGTGTGCGCCACCACCGCCTGGCTCTAACTGACTTTTAAATGCTTCAATTTATCTGTTCCTTATCTGTTCAGTCTTGGGGAAAAAAAAAAAAGAAAACCCATGTGAACACATGGTCAGGTGCCAGAGGGTGGCCACATGGTCAGGCAGACACCATCTTGACTAAGGTCAAAGACAGACAGGTCATATGCTCTGTCACCATATTTGATAAGGGCAATCACATGGTCAGGTAGGCACTATCTTGGCTAAGGTCAAAGAGGAACAGGTCATATGACCTCACCACCATCTTTACTAAGGGCAGCAAAAAGTCATTTTCTGTCAGTGGCTCAAGCATTGGCTGGGTGCCTGGCACTTGAGCCATTTGTAGGGGGGTGGGAAAAAAAAAAGCTCCACCTAGAGTCAATGTACTCCACAGGTCCAGTCGCAGCCTGGCTTTCGTTCTTCTGTGGCCACCCTCCAGGGCTCTTGGGCATCAGTGGAGCTGCATGCTGGCGATATGGCCAACTTGTCAGCTCATTTTATAGATTAAAAAAAAAAAAATCAAGCCTTACTTTCCCTAAAGCTACTAGGTCTCTCAACATAAATAAATTATTTAAATGCTTCAGATTACTTTCCCCTTCTATATATTAAGATTTTAAAATTTCAGATTTTAACATTAATAGAGTTCTGATGCAGTTTGGGTCACAAACTCAGGATTTGGGATTTTCTTGCTTGTCTTCCAAATATAAACTTATAGGTATGAGTCCACTGCTGTTTTTCAGATTCCTGCTCCAAATAAGGGAGTTTTCCTCATCTGTCTATTCCTGAGGATGGTATTTTTCTTTCTCCTGGTCTCCCTTTCATAATTACTAAGACCATGGGCCAAAGGCTCCAAATAAGTTCTTCTGTCTCTGGTCTGTCTGCTTCAGCAGGTTTCCACTTGGCTGGCAGACACATCCAAGCGTCAATGGCTGACTGTAACCTGCTCCAAAGGACCATGAGTTCTAGACTTGGCTGAAGGCTGATACGATGTGGACCAGTCCAACCAAACACAATTGTTCCATCTCTACAGCCAGGTCAGATGACCACATACTTCCGATAAATACCCCATTGCCAGGGTTCCCTCCTTATCTTTGACTGGCCTTTCAGCCTCCCTGGGCTCTGACCATCTGCTCCCCGTTTCAGTTTGAAGCAGCTATAGAAGAGCAACATCCCTGTCCCCGCATCCCCCTCAAAAACAAAAAACAAAAAACAAAACAAAACAAAAAAAAAACAGCTAAAGGGCCAAGTCAAAGAAAAACCCCTGGCAGAGGGAGAAATTGGCTACCTAATGCCCACTGATATACCAGGAAACTAGACCAAATATTGTCAACTGATAGATTTATTAACTAAAATAATTCTGCAATAGGATAAAACACTTGACCTTCTTTATACAGAACCAAAGAGGTATTATATGACCTTAAGAAATAATTATTTTGGGCTGGAGAGATGGCTCAGGGGTTAAGAGCGCTGACTCTTCTTCCAGAGGACCTGAGTTCAACTCCCAGCACCCACATGGCAGCTCACACCTGTCTATAACTCCAGTTTCAGGGGATCCTCACACCCATGGCAAAAAAACAAATGCACATTAAAAAAATAAAATATATATAAAAAAGAAATAATTATTTCTATATAAATCATTCAGGATTATAATCTGGCTATACTCAAAGATCAGAACTACAGGGCCTTAAAAATGGTAATAGATGCAGACATCACTGCCAATGGCTTAAAAAATGTCTCTCCTTACTCAAGGTCTAGTCAGGCTTAGAAATGTAAGCCTACTTGTCCTTGCTAAATTTATCTGTTCAGATTAACTTAGAGATTTACACCTCTAGAAAATTTAAATAAATGATGGCATATGTTTGATATATAAGATATTTGATAGGCAAGATGTATATCCTGTGACAGAGTTTCTGGTCCCCCGAGAGAGTCCTTTTCTTGGAGTTGGGTCACACCCTGACTCACAAACCCCTTTTGTCCTGTTACCATTTGGTTCTGGGATCTTTCTCCCATCTCTCTTCTTTGCCTTCTCAGGAGACAATAAGTCCTAGCCTTGTGGAAGCTGCTAAGATATTGGAGACTTGAGGAATACTAGCTGATAGTCAGCCATTCCTACCTAATAGACAGGCAGTCCTCAAATGCTCAGAGATCTGCAGAATATGGCATTTAAAATGTTGATCAAAAAGCTTATTATATTAGACAGAGACTCTCAGATCCTAACAGTGACCCAAGGTCTCCAAAGAAGATTATGAGGCACCATGATGTCTTACATGGATTATGGCAATGCTGACCAATGCTCTGGGCAAGATGCCCCAATGTGAGACCTGCCACTAGGACCCAGCCCAGACTGGACAAACAGCAGGGCATCGGAGAACTGATTGCACTCCTTTTGCCTAGACAAATTAAAGTCGGTCTTCCCTATGTCCCTCGTCCACGGGGAAAAACTCCCACCTTATGGGCCTGGTGGCCAAAGACTGATGCTGTTCTGATACTTCTGCCTCCAATGGTGGAGACCTGGATATGGCTGACTGGGTGAGGACTGGTCCCTGTCATTTTTTAAATAGATTCAAAAGCTGCTTGGTCTGCATTCAGATATGATTTATCGTTCTCGGATCTCTGATTCCATTTGATGACCAGGCTTTGCTTCAGCTGCCTTCTCAATTCTCTATGTAAAATTCACAGGTCCCCCTCTCCTAGGGCTACTACTAGTTCTAGACACAATTTACCTTGTTACCAGATTAGAAAAACTCACAGAACAAATTTCAATGTAACTTTTTAACTATTGACTGTTCTCAGTATATCCTGGTTTGTTTATATGAAGATAGGAAAGTTGTCTGATGATGTTTAGGGAAGCCTCCCTCCTCCTTCACTCACTCAAACACTTCCATTCAGTAAATCTCCTCTGGTTATAGGTCTAAGAATGTGTTTCATTGGACTGAAACCAGGCCTTAAAAATGTTCATACCTTTTAACCCAAAGCCATAGCCTTTTGCTATGACACTAAGATGTAAATCTGTTCCAGTTGTTTTACACACTTACAGGTTCCTGCATGGATCCACCCTCCTACCAGATTTATGCCAAGACCAACCCTCAGGGGCTCTCCAGATACACCAGCCCCTGCACCAGCTCTGAGGATGCCAACCACCAACTGAGGACACCAACAGGGACGGATGCACCCCCACCTCAAGGGAACAACAGATGTAATGGTTCACGTACTCCTAAAGAGCACATCATCCCTCAGTTCACTGCTGGTACCACCTCTCCAAGCTCAAGTGGGCACCTGCCCAACAATGATAACTATCTATTTTTTTCTCCTAGCAACCTGCCTTCTCAGCTCCCTCAAGGAACAGATGCCTGAGATCCCCATGCCTGATATCTCCACGATGACAGCCAACTAAATGCTTCTTCACTCATACCTCATGCTTTGTGTGACCCTGACTCCCAACTTCCCCTTCCCACTTCACTCTAAAATCAGCAGGAAGCAGTTTCAAGAATTCAGCACCTTTATTCCCCCACTTGCTATCCATAACTCGCCTTTTTATATTAATCAAAACAGGAGAATGTCGGCATTCTGGCCCACCCCTTGGGGACTCACTCTGCTCGTCTTGACGTAAAGCCTACTTTAAGAGAAAACTCCTCCTCCACCGCCTCTATTCCCATAAGGTGTGCACCTCCTCTCCCCCGTTGCTCTCTCTCCCCATCTCTCTCTTTCCCTGTTTCTTGCCCCCACCAAGTAAAACTCTTCACTGAGCGCTGCCTGCATGGTGTCTCTGTCTCTCACCCGCTGTGGGGCATCCTGGCCCAAAGGCCCCGTGCGCTGTATCATTACACTCACCACTTGCCCACAATCTTGTTGGTGTAGCCTGCCTTCTTCAGGAGCTCAGGCAGGAGGTGCTCTGAGTTAGGGATGCCACCCATGATCTCCTGAGGTGTGTAAGCTGGAAGAACAACACTGCATTAGAAATATCACATCTCTGTAATGGATACACACACTACCCCATCAAGGTGGACAGGCAGAACTGTGGTCAGGCTAGAGACACTTCCCATGATATTCCCAGGTACTCTCCAAGTTAGTACCAACATGGTGGGGATGGTGGAATGCTGCCCCTCACCCCCACCTGTCTGGTTTGGCATTTGATATCATGCTGTTCCCTGTAGGCTATGATCCTGGTTCCTCCCATACTCCTTTTCTTCAAAGCCACTTGAAATCCCATCTCATCTGGGACCCTATCCTTACAGAAACCATCCAAGCTCTTGAGCTTGTTTCCAGAACATTCCCTGCTCTGACCTGAAACCTCATGGCTTTCCCAGTGGAATAGGAGCCATGCCAGGCAGTGCCCCAGGAGCAGGCCAAGGGTGATGGGCGAATGCTGTGTGGTGTACCTGAGGTGCCCCAGGCCCAGCTTGGTTCTCAGTGGGCCAATTCAGGGAGGAAGCTTGTGACACGGGGGGGGGGGGGGGGCTGCTCTGTGGTACTCAGTTCTGCCTTAGGTGGCCTTTATTTACCGTTCCAGACCCCAATCCTCTCATACTAAGGCCTAGGACACCAGCTTTCCCTAATCTAGATAGAGGTACCTACAGGGTTATGGGGGTGGGGGGTGGGGGGACATACCATTCCTTGCATGCGCGTTGGATGTGTAGAAGCCATTGCGGATGGGCAGCCGTCCTGTGAGCAGGGCTGCCCTGGCTACATAGAAGGATAAAAACAGACACTGTGACACAAATCCAGGTAGGACCTTCAGCCAGCTCTGCAGTGCCTCCCGCGTTCACAGTTCCTGGGAGGTGTCTGTCATGAATGCATCAGGCTGACACTGAACTGTTGGGTTTTAATCCCCTCCAGCCTCTGCGTTGCACAAGTCAGGCACTGGGAGATGGCCCAACGGCCTGTTGACGATGGAGGTTTATATAGCAGGTTCCGCTACTCAGCTCTGTCCTCGTGCTCGGTCTCTAGACTCGGGGACAGCCACCAGACTGAGGACCCATATGGCCTGCCTCCTACTGACCACTTGCCCCATCTACTGTTCTTACTTAAGGTCAGCACTTCTGTAAACACCAATGTAGTAGGAGTGACATTCCTTGGGACGAGGACATGGATGGCCTCACTGCCTCTCCACTACACCCATGTCCTGTGACCAGGAAGTACAGACAGTACTCTGAGGGCAGTGTGGCAGTTCTAGGAGACAGACAGCAGCCCTCCCCTGGTGCAGAGTGACCCCTGCCTGCTGGGAGGCAGATAGCAATATCGAGGGCACGGTATTGCCCTTAAAGAGCCCTAATAAGCTCCAAACTTATGGTGACTCAGGGCTCAGAGTCAGGGGCCAGCATGATAGCAATAAAGTACTCGTTCCACCTGCAGCCTTCCTGACACCTGAGAAGAGGCTGTTTCCCTAGATTAGGGTGGGAGGGGCAGATGCGGCAGACTCTGCTGGCTAACTGGGTCCAGGGCAAAGGGCAGCAGCAACTTACATGGTGAGCACAGAGGGTTGGCAGAATAGAAGTTTGGGAAAAGCATCCCTTCTGCAGCCATCCGGTCCAAATTTGGGGTCTCTCTGGAAGGCTCTCCATACACACCCAGGTCACCCCAGCCCATCTGCAGGGAAGATCAAAGAGATGAGGAATGAACCCTTTCAACAAATGGTTCTTTTGTTACAAGGAAGAGCCATAGAGTTTACCCAAAGCCTGGAAGCTTCTGTGAGCTGCTCCAGGACTTACAAGAAATTTGCTGGCTTTCACCTCTATATCAGTTTGACCACCACCAGAAATATATCTGTGTTTGCCTTCCTCCTCAGCTGAGATCAAGCCCTGTGTGCTCCTAGAGTCTTGGTGTCTAAGAATACACATCTATTTTCAGCATAAAGCTGTTATGCAAATTTAGATTTCAAAAGCAAGTGGTGAGGTTCCTCAGAAAGCCGAGCCTAGAGTCACCACATGGCCTGGCAGCCTGGCTCAGTGTACCTCACAGAACTGAAAACCCATGCTCCAAGACTACATGAGTGTCCATGGCAGTCTGATCCCAACCATCAAGGGCTACGGCCAGTCCAAGTGGCCACCAGATGACAGATAAACAAGTTATAGGCTATACTGTCTGGGTGGAATTGTATTTCTCCAAATTCATGACCATCTGAAGCTCATGAGTATGACCTTAATTCACTTCCACATTGGAATGTTATTCAAGGAAACCTGAACCCATGTTTCTAGGCCGTGATCACTCAGATTTGGTTCAGAATAAACTCTCACTCCCTTTGAGATGTAAACTGTGCTTTGGATCAACTATGGCAAACTCTCATTGGAGGGAGGGCATGCAGTCAACTCCCAGCTATGGTCCATCACAGTGAAGGGTGGCAAGCAGCAAAACAAGACAAGGACGAGGATGCACAGGGTGGTGTTGGGAGTCGAGACGAGGCAGCTTCCAGTGTCCTGCCCCCATGGCGGTATGCTACAAGCCTGCTTCCCTCAAGGTCAACTTGTGATAGTACAGGTGGGTGGAATCAACCTGAGAACTTGTGAGAGGTTTAGGATCTAGAGTTCTCACTTTGGGATGGTCATGAAGGTAGGCACCTTGTACTTTACACACACCAAGATGACAGATGCACAGAGATATGAGATAACTAATTAGACATTAGCAGGCTTGTGAGTTATCGGGATGGATCCTTAACAATCAGCTTGCAAAACCAAAACCTGAAATCGTGAGACCGATACTGGTTCATAGGATGTAACTAGAGTTGTATTTATAACCCTGGGTGGAGTTATGACATTAACAGATGTGGGCATGTACAATTTTTGTCTTTGTGATACATTGTTGTCTTCTACAAAGTTCATGTTTGAGAACTGCAATCAGTCACACAAAAAAAAATCACAAAAATATGTTTTAACTAAGTTCATGATTCTTGTGTTGGGCCCAATTTATGGCTATCCTTGCTGTATGTGGCTGCAGGTTGGACATACCTAGAAAAGTTGGCGGTCCTTCCTTCCTTCCTTCCTTCCTTCCTTCCTTCCTTCCTTCCTTCCTTCCTTCCTTTTTTTCTTCCTTCCTTTTTCTTCCTTCCTTCCTTTCTTTCCTTCTTTCCTTCCTTCCTTTCTTTTTTGAGACAGGGTTTCTCTGTGTAGCCCTGGGTGTCTTGGCACCCACTCTGTAGACTAGGCTGGCCTTGAACTCAGAGATCCATCCACTTGCTTCTCCCTCCCAAGTGCTGGGACTAACATGCGCCACCTCTGCCTGGCTTGGACCAAAGCTTATTTTAACTTGGGTTGTGTTTGTCCTTCTCTGTTCCACTCAGCCCCCCATGTTAAGGAGGGTTACGTGGAAAGCCACCTGGGCACTAGGCCCATGAAGCTGCCCATACTTCCAGCCCACACCTACCTCCGATGACCATGAGTATTTTGCTCTGCAATGGTCCTTTTTGGTCTTGCCCACTCTCATTCTTTGACTATGTTCTGCTCTACAATCGTCCTTGTGACCATTATCTAATCTCACACACACTCTAATTATGCTGGCCTTTACACGAACCAGCCTCTTATGCTGGCTGTAACCCTTAGGACAGGAGTGGGTATGGAGTCTTTTGCAAGTCAATGTAACTGGCAGGTGAGTAGGTCTTTTGTATGGTTCACTACACTAGTTTTGGGAACCCATCCCCTGTTCTATAATGGTAGCCTCTCAGGGAAAGGGGCTTATTTAGAACATGCCCTCTGGACATGTTATAATATAACCATGATCAGGACCATGATCAACCAGTCCAAAGTCAGTGGCAATCCTTAAAGAATTTAAACTAGAGACAATCTTAGACAGCCAGACAGTGTCAAGCCTGGAGCTGGGAGCCATGTTATCCTAGGTAAGCCAGACATACATAAGCACAGGTTGCAGATTCAGACATGATCAGCCTGGCAAAGGCAGCTATAGAGGGCAAAGGGAGGGGTTTGCAGAGGAGAAGAGACTAGCATGGAGGCTCCTGTGCTGCTGAGGCTGTTCTTATCTGCCATATAGAGGGCACCTCAGGACTTTTCTCCCCTTCTGGCATTCTCGCCTCTTCCAGCACAGGCACCCTGCCCTGGAATAGGTCAAGTATGAACCAAGGAGGCCTCCCCACCCAAGGTGTCCTTTGCAGAGGTGGGCTCAGCTTTCCTGGTGCAGAGTCCAGCATATTCTTCTCACCTTATGCTTGGGTCAGGAGTGGGTCCGAGTCAGCAAAAGCCATTGTCCCACTGGGACTGCTGACAGTTGGTAGGTGAGCTGGGAGTTGCCTAGGGCTGTCATGAGGCTGTCATGGGGCCACCAGGGGCCAGCTTACAGACAGCAGCCTTATGAAAGGGGAAGCCTAAAGCCTACTTGCTTTAAGCTAGAGTGATCTTTGGTAAAGCCAGGGATTCCCAGTTTTACCGACATTAACTGAGTTCATTTTCAGTTATATGTATCAAAAGTCTCTACATGACAAGACCCAAGTTTTGCAGAATGTTCTTGGACAGCCCCAGGGTATTCAGAAGGTAGGTGGTGGGGGTTCCTAATCAACTACCTTCAGGTAGACTGATCTGGTGCTAGCCACATCCCATTAGCCCAAACCCCTGTACTCATCTGCAGCTGCCCAATGGAAATGCTCTCTGAACTTTACATGTACCTTTATATTTTTTAGTCACCATATTAGAAAAGCAATTAGGTTACTAGATGTTGTGGTTCATGCTTGTAATCTTAGCACTGGGAAGGCTAAGGCAGGATGATTGCCTCTAGTGTGAGGCCAGCTTGGGCTACAGAGTGAGTTTCAGGCCAGCCAAAA